TATAAATGGGTCATGGCAAGGCACAAACATCACATGCTCCTCAGTCTGGACTTAGGGTGACACAAGGGAGATATTTGGTGTATCACCCTCGTATCAGCCAAGGTGTGCCCTTCCCAAATGTAAACTAGAGGTTGGGCTTCTGTGTCTTTTTTGATTTGAGTAAAAAAGGTGTGCAGAGTAACTGGAGAGTGACTTTTCAGCTTGGTGCCTCACCTTCCCCATCATCCTCACAAATGTCCCCTACAGGAGAACAGGACACAGGAAAATAGTTGACAGCTGTTGTCTAGGCAGCAAAGCAGCATGGCCCTGGAGACAGCCCAACACACTTGCATTCCAGCATCCGACAAACAAGTGTGCTTTACAGCATGGGCAGTTTTAGCCTTGGATCCCTTCCCATTGTTTCTCATTTCTAAATTTGATCCCTGACACAGAGCAGGGAGCCCAGGTCTCTGGATTCCTGAATTTTTGTATTCTTGTGTCACATGGACATCCCAAGCACATGTTGAGTCCCACAAGGCCAGGGATGGAGACTCTGGCGCTCTGGGGGCTTTGTACTCTGGGAAGGACCGTTTCTGATCTTATCTGTCAGCAGAGGCCTGTGTCCAGGCTTGCTGGGCCCTTTTCAATTCTACTGGGATGCTGGAGAGGGAGGGGTGGGGGGGGGACAGGGTGACCTGCAGGAGGACAACTGCAGTGGCTCTTCTGTCTGCTGCCTCATGCCTGGCTCCTTCTACAAGGAAGAATCAGGTTCACTTTGTAGATTGAACGAGGTAACTGTGTAAGGTCAGTGGTGGAGTGCCTGGCACATAGTAGGTGCTGAAAACTGGCACCACCACCATCAGCTGTTTCTCCACCCCCAGATGAAGCACAGGCTGAAGGCACTGGCCTAGCATCCCCCTCTTCAACCCGAGTTTTCCAGGCCTCCTTCGTTCTCAGGCCCAGTGAGTGAAGGGGAAGAGCAAGTTCCCCTGGGGCTGGTATCCCATGAAGAATTCCATGCATTTGTTTTTCTAAATAATATGGTCATCTCACAGTGGTCATGGTGGTCGGGGCAAACTGGATTGAGATTTCCCTGTGTTTACAAAACCATCTTAAAGCCAGAGAGGCCCACAAAATGAGCCTAGTCACGAGGGGCGTCATACGGCTTTTAAAATGCAAATTGCCCATCCTGTATTTCTCAGTATAGCCATAATTTCACCTACCTGGGGCAGATACATGATGATATATCAAGCCTGTCATATAAACGGTACCCATGTCTGGGTTGCAGATGGTGCTTCCCAGCCTGGACACTTCTTGGAGAAAATCACACCTCATAGAACATGCTTCAGTGACAATTTGCTACGGATCATCACCCCATCCATGCTGCTCAGAGAAGCCCAAGGAATGTCTTGGCTTCAAGGGCAGCTTGTCATAGGCCTCTCACTTAGCCAGAGAGACTGGCCATATGTCACCCAGCACAGTGACCACAGCAGTAAAGTGGCTAGAGCATACCCTGGACCTGATGAGGCTATGGCTGGTGTCTAGGGCCGAACTGGCAGCATGGTGGGGACACAGCACATCAAATCAACACTCCTGGTTTACTGCATCTATGACCCCTTGCTCATTACTGCTGCCTCACGTTGAAGAATGTGGGTCTGGCTACAACTGCAACTCTAGTTCTTTTCTTGTTTTTATTTCTCCAGTGGTCCAACTCATCAGTTCCGGGGCCCCTGCTATATTTCAGGTGTCATGCTAGGCAATGGGATATAATGAATAGGACATGTTCATATCCTTCAGAAGGCCACACCTTAGTGGCAGGACAGCTATAGCAGAAGACACATGAGAGGAGTGAGATGATGCATATAAACAGATGATTACAATTGAGCATGTTACATGCACAGTCATGGGGAGGTGGGATTTTAGTCAGAAGTTATAAGCAAAGAGCGAGAGGCCTGAAGGCTTCCGTCATGTTACCGAAGCAGTATGTGGTTTAGTGAACTCAGAGTGTGGGGTGCCTGAGAAAGAATTGTCAGAGACAGGACTGGCATGGGACTGTAGGATGAGGCTATGAAATTGCTGGTCACTCAGAAACCCTAGGATGGGAAGGAGGTGGTATCTTACTTCCTCTTGGTGACTGGCTTGGACCAAAAATTGATAATTTCTTAAAAAACAGGAAACAGGCCGGGCGTGGTGGCTCACACCTGTAATCCTAGCACTCTGGGAGGCCGAGGCAGGTGGATTGTTTGAGCTCAGGAGTTCGAGACCAGCCTGAGCAAGAGTGAGACCCCGTCTCTACTAAAAAAATAGAAAGAAATTAGCTGGACAACTAAAAATATATAAAAAAAATAGTCGGGCATGGTGGTGCATGCCTGTAGTCCCAGCTACTCGGGAGGCTGAGGCAGGAGGATCGCTTGAGCCCAGGAGTTTGAGGTTGCTGTGAGCTAGGCTGATGCCACGGCACTCTAGCCCGGGCAACACAGTGAGACTCTGTCTCAAAAAAAAAAAACCAGGAAACAACCTAAATGTCCACCAATAGATGAGTAAAGAAAATGTGGTACACACACAGACACACACACACACACACACACACAGAGGAATACTTTTCAGCCTTGAAAAAGAAGGAAATACCATAATATGTGATAACATGGATAAACCTTGAGGACAGTATGCAAAGTAAAATAGGTCAGTCACAGAAAGACAAATACTGCATGATTCCACTTCTATGAGGTAGCCAAAATAGTCAGACTCATAGAATCAAAGAGTGGAGTGGTGGTGGCCAGGGGTGGGGGGAGGGGAAATGGGGAGTTGCTAATCAACAGGCATAAAGTTTCAGTCAAGCAGGGTGAGTAGGCTCTAGAGATCCGCCGTACAACACTGTAGCTGTAGTCAATGATGATGTATCATTCACTTAAACACATATTAGAAGGGTAGATCTCCTAGTACCAATTTGATGGAGAGTACATGTAGTGTACCCCCATAATATCCTGAATTTAAAAACAAAAAGAGGGTAGATGTCATATTGTGTTTTTTCAACAATAAAATAAAATGCCAGAGAAATATGGGAGCCTATGCTGACTGCTGTTGATGGCACTTTCAGTTTTACAATCATTAATACCTTCCTACCTTTCCCTCTGGTTCAAGAACCATCCAAACCTTCCCTGTTGGTGGAATGGAAAGAGCCCTGGAGTCAGGACACCTGGGTTGAAATCCCAGCTTTTCCATTTACCAGCTATGAGACTTTGAGCTAGTCACTTTGTTTTTTCAACCTCTATGGATTTCGTCTCAACAATGAGTACAACACAACCTGCACCACAGCAATGCTTTAAATGTCCAATGAAACAACGGGCTTTGTGATCTCTAAAGAAATACATAGGAAAGCAAAGCTTTTAAATAGACCTCTGCTGCCAATTTCTCCTCAGGGCTCATTGGCCAGAACTGGGGCCCCTGGCTCCCCTTAGCTGTAAGAGAGACTGAGAAATAGAGTACAATATTTGGCTCACCAACCTTTGTAGTAGAGAAAAGCAAGGGTTGTGGAGAATGCCAAACCATAGTTTCTGCCTAAGCAGCAGGAGGACCCTTGTCTGTGGAGGGTTCTTTCTCCAATCATTGGCGATAAAAAAAGGTAAGCATTCTATGTTTTAGAAAGGATTCAGTCCCTTCACATAAACACACAAGGAATGACACCAACAACTAGTGGAAAATAAGTATGTAAATAATATTCAAGAATCCCTGCATTACAAGAGCTTTGAAAAGAAATGGCACCATATCGATTAGCTATTGCTGCCTAACGAACTGCCTCCAAATCCAATGCTTAAAACAAAATAATTTCTTATTCTTTCTCATGCATTTTTGGCTGAGTTGACCTAGGTTGGGCTCAGCTGATCTTGGCTGCAGTCACTGATGCATCTGCAGGTCAGCTGGGGGCTCTGCTCTGGCTGGGGCCTGGTTGGGGCCCTTTAGCTGGGGTGGCTCTGCTCCACATGTTTCTTGTCCTTATCCTGGAATGAGAAGGCGAGCCTGGGCATACCCTTGTTACAGCAATGGCAGAGGCACGAGAGAGTAAGCAAAAACATGTGATACCTTTTGAGGGGCAGGCTCAGAACTGGCACACCCATCACTTCTGCCTCATTCTGTTGGCCAAGGCAGGTCATGTGGCCAAACTCAGGCATGGGGAATTATACCCCACCCACAATGGTAGGAAGCTACAAAGTTACATGGCAATGGGGACGGATATAGGGAGGGGTAAAGAATTGGAACCATGAAAGCAAATGAACCTCAGGCACCAAAGGTCTTTCAAGTCATAAAAATAAGATTAGCATTATACTCTAATCCTTCAGAGGGAAGCCATCCTAAATTTAGTTTGGAATTACTAAATGACTAGAGCCAAAGTTGATAGCCATATCTTCAACTCATAGTTCACTTTACATTCATGGAATTGAGAAAGGAATTTTTCAAGTGAAAATGAGGTCTTCAATTTTGACTTATGCTTATTATATTGATACATAGACTGTCCCTAAAAATATCTTATGAAAACTAAAGTAATGATGAACATGGAGGGCATTATGCTAAGTGAAATAGGCCAGACACAAAAAGACAAATACCACATGATCTTATATGTGGAACCTTAAAAGGTTGGAGTCATAGAAGCAAAGAGTAGACTGGTGGTTGCCAGGGGCTGCTGGCAGGCAGGAGATGGGGAGATGTTGGTTAAAGGATACCAAATTTCAGTTAGATAGGAGGAATATGTTCTAGAGATCTGTTGTACAGCATGGTGACTGTGGTTAATAATGTATCCTCGAAAATTGTCAAGAGATTAGATGTTAAGTGTTCTCATCACAAAAAAATAAGTACATGACGTGCTGGATATGCTAATTAGCTTGATTGGATCATTTCACACTGTATGCATATATCAAAACATTGCATTGTATACTGTAAATACATATAATTTTTATGTGTCAATTATGCCTTAATGAAACTGGGGGGGAAAGAAACTAATGATTCCTTTGGTTTTTCTTTTGCAGGTTTGTTGTGAAGAATTAAAGAGGAAAAGGATGGATTCAAATGAATATAGCTAAGAAATTTTATATATTTGTATGACGACTATGAACCTCCTGAATGCCTAACACCCTAGCAGAAATGGCCTGTTTGTACATTTATATCTCTTCCTTCTAGTTGGCTGCATTTCTCACTTTAATTTAATCTTCATTTTTGGCATTTTACAGAACAAATCAGTCTGGGAATTCACCACGTGGATGGTGTGGTTTTGAGGAGGGATATAATTTTCTGGAGAGGGATGTGGCAATGTGTGTAAGAATGATTTTGATGGGAAGTTCTCTAAGCTAATTCTCACAGCGTTTGGTCAATATTTGGAATGTATTTTAGTTCTTCACCTTTTAAATTATGTCAATAAACTTTTTATGAGTTCAAATAAATATTTGAGTAAATGTAAAATGTGATTGATTCTAAACTAAATTAATTTTCACATCTTCAGATAGCTACATATTCCCTAATATGAAGAGAAATGAGATACGAGTCAGTCAAATCCCATATTGCTTATGTGGGGGCTTCTCATTTTGAATTACTGGGTACCTGGGTGAGACTATGGCTGACTGATCACTGCATATTAAGTTAAATATGCCTGAGGAATTAGGTATCATTGATATTCCTCCTCCAAGGATGACCTTTATGGTGAATGCATTTTACTCCCAAAGAGGCTCAGAAACTCCCCCAGATGGAATAGAGTTCATTATAAAGCACAATAATGTAAAGCTGAGAGATCAGAGGGGTACAGCAGCTGTCCGAAGATGAAACATGTCTCCTGACGCTAAGATGGAGAGCCTCTTATGTCAACTTAATCAATGTCCAACGCTATCATAGACCAAAAAGAATCACCCATGCTCTCTAAGGTCTTGTAATCTTCTGAAATGCCCTGGCAATTTCACAATATGAAGATTTGAGGGGCCAGGTTATCAAGATCACACTGTTTGAAAAGCAAGCATGTCACCTACCTGGTATGTAGAGACCTCGACACCATTTCTCCGGCTAAATGACTGTGAGCCTCGCTTCAGGGCTAGCCATTGTAAAAAGTCAGATGTACTTCTAAACATCCCAAGCGTAGATGACTTTCTCGCTTTTTTGTTTTGTAGAGATTGCTTTCCAAAAGCAGGACTATCATTGCCTTCACATGACTGGCTGCAGAGTCAATGGTGCCTGATGTGTTTAGGTTTTCTTGAAGGGGTGCCCATCTGGTTGTAGGTCCCAGGCGTTTTGCAGGGCCGTGGTTTATCCTGGTGATCTCCATCTGGTATATACATATAGGGTGGGGAATATCAATCAGAACAAAATAACAAAATATGCCAGCCTAATCATCTATCAGTAGACCAAATGAACAGGTTCTAAACAATAAGGCTTTGGGCTGCCTCAGGCCATCTCACTCTGTCCTAAGTGGAGTATTTGGATAGGGTTACAAAATCTACCTCAGTGTTCATTTTGTTTAAATATGAATTACGCATGTTCGGTTTCAAAATTAACTTCCAGTTTAATATTATAAAAAACTGTCTTCATATTTTAATGCAGTCTCCCAAGGCAAATTTGCCACATAATACAAATTCATTAGACAAATTCAATGGATTTTCAAATTTAATATGTATTTTACTTTGTTAGGGCTCAAGTTCACTATATATGGGATTTAGGAAGCTCTGTATTCTATCATCCATTGGACAGCACATAGAGTATAATATAGGAAAAATTATACGTTCATCTTTGCTTTCGATGAATGTATAATTTAAAAAATTCACATATTTCACACTAAATGTCTCCTTAAAAACCCATACATCATATTGAAACGGCCTTGTATTTATCTTACGGGTTTGTAAACAACCAGTCATTATGCAACGTTTCCATGGGGGAGAAATAAGGTACAAATAAGTTGAAGGTTCATTAGGAGAGAGAGGAAAAAAAAAAAAAAAACCAAACTAGAAACAACATGGTTTTAAGTAAGGTCTAAGTACCAGACCTAGTTTTTAGTGTGCAGGTTGCAAATGATACGACAATCAGATACTCTATTGCAAGGTGAGTATCTTTGAGTGCAACACAACATTCGCTCCACTCACATTTCCTAGAGGCTCCTATGTGTCAGTCTATGCCAAGTGCTGGGGGAACGCAGAGCAAATTCCTCCAGAGAATCATCTTGCCTAAAACAACCTCCTGTCCCCCCTGGTCTCCCTCCCCAACACATGGGATTTTCCTATATTGTGCTTGAGGCACCAGTGAAAGGAGAAGGCCCCGCTGGGTCCAGGACCTCGTGGGACACTGGAAAGTTTCTCCCTTTGGAGCAGAAGCCAGCAGGAATACACAAGGCTCTCCAGAATCATCTCAAACAGTCATTTCGTGTGATCTTTCCATTTTGACACACAGATTAGAAGAAGGTAATTAGCTTTGTTTCCAAGGTTACCTACTGAGTAGCTGAATGACACAGTAGTAGTCTAAAAGTTAGGCCCAAGGCATGGGGGATGCTAATTACCCAAATGAATCCCTCACTTTTAACTAGAGCAGTTAGAGGATGTACAAAAAGCCTCCCATCATGATTAGGGCCATGTAAGGAACACTACTCATTTCAATGTACCTTCCTGTGAAATCCCCTCTTCTACATTCTTGGGCTGACCTAGAATTAGGGTTCCCCCCTTGACAATGAGAACAGGGCTCATTTGGATTTAAGGACTACGGGTTGATCAATTAAAATTAGTTCCCTTTGAAGGCCTGTGGCATTATCTCATTGCTTTGCAATCTAGCTTGAAATAGAAACCGCATTTAACTTGATAATTGATGCTCCCCTGGGCTTTTAACCTGATGCTGAATGTATGCATCCGTGGCCCATCGCTAGTTCTTTGCCTCACATACCATTAATGAAATTTCGGTGCTTCTCCAGAGGAGAGGATATATCATCATAACATTCAGACACAATCACATACTCACTCAACAAGCCACACATAGAGAATTCACTAGGGGAGAAAGAAACCTACCGGCATGGTGCCAGGCTAAGAAAACTGTTAGAGCTCATGTATTGACTTCATTTTTTCTCTAAGCAAATGACCAAACTTGTTTAGATCCCACACTGAAGGCAAATCATACTGTCAAAAAAAAAATATGCCGATTATAAAAAAGGGGAGTCAGCCGTAAAATAAGATTCCAGCCTTAACAACATCATCACCTAAAGGTGTTCTTCACAGAAAGAAAAACAACCGCAATTAAGCAATCATTTTCAGATTCCGGGATGCTCTTGGCCTCACATCGTTCACCCCATGCTTGTTTATTAGAGGAGAAAAATCAATCCCTTAACATTTGACTTCTCCCAAGCAAAACAATTCAGTGACACCACTGACTAGGAGAAGCTGCACTATCAGATAACAAGGCTCTTTTTTATGACCAGCTCTTTCCCTGGTTCAGTGAGGCTATATTAAGATGCAGATTCCAGAAGGAAGGAAGGCCTTCCCCTTGGGCTTCAAATGCCTGCAGACAAGCTGCAAAGCAAAAGCAGGTCTGCACTCTAAAATTAAATTTTTAAATCTGATTGTGGGTTGGGAGGAGCGATGGGTAGGGGAGGTGCGGGCAAGTTTAACACCACTGTGTGGGTGGCTCATGGTCTCAAGACATACAAAATGGGGGTCTAGACTTCTCTGGAAACTATTCCTGCTACTTAATATTGCTCACGCATCAATGGTGCACCAGACAAGACACGGTCCTGTAGGAATTTCTTTCCTGAAGTATTTTAGAACACACCAACCTCCAATCCACCCGCCCACGCAAGCCGCGCTGCTTTATGGCTAATGGCAAGCTTTAGGCCAAAGAATTCCGGGAAGGCTTTGTTCTTGATTTATGATTTTGTTTTGCTTTGCTTTATATTGTGTCTTCTGGCCCTGACAATACACAGAAAGATTCTTGGGCTCCGGTGATTCTCACCCTCCTCACCCAGCTAGGAGTGAATTTTCCCACATCGAGTGGGAGGTAAGAGGCATCAAAGAAGCCAGACACATCTCAACTTCCAGAAGGCCAGACACTCATCAGGGTGTGGAATTTTTGCTTAGTATTGGCAACTAGGCCTTTGCTTAGTATTCTAAAATCATCTGGTGGATCCAAGTTTATTATATTAATAATTTCTTTAAAATGGCATGTTGCACATTTAAATGTGCAGACCAGGAAACAGGAAATAACAAACACAGCTGTCTTTAGTGATAAAATAATAAGGATAGTGCATAGGCTCAGACTCAAATCTTAAAAGAACAAACAAAAAACCCTCCAAACTTATTTTTTTCCAAGTCTTCAATTCATTGCTGGGCATCGTGGCTGTAAAATGACGGCCCAGGAGAAGGGAGGCGGGGGAGGTCCATTTGCAATCCAGGCAAACCACACACACAGGGTGGGGAATTCAGAAGGAGGAATTAAACAGGAAAAACGGCCCTTAATGAGAGACCCATTGGATTCCAGACTCTGTAGTTAGGTCCTGGTCTACGGCAGGGACCCCCAACTAACATACTCAACATTTTAGCCCTACTTTGCTTATTGCTTGGTATTTCTCTAGACTTTTCCCAACATATTCTCTTTACCAGCTTGGGAAGAGAACCACCCCCTCTCTGTTGTGTGGCATTAATTTCCTCAAAGAGCATGCTTCTACCAGAGGGTTTACCAATATCTGCCACCCTGGAATCACTGGTTCCATTTGGCCTTGGATATAAACAATAATGTCTATGGCTGGCTAGAAAATAAACCGTGGGAATTGGCATGTTTTTCCCTGAGAGGTCATTGGGAACAGCACTGGCAATGGCCCGTTGTAGCCCCCAGACCTTTCGTTTAGAAGCCAAACAGAGGCAATGATCTTTAACAGAAGCACCATTAGGCAAGACCTACATCTGAAAGCTTTGTTGATTCAGACGCTCAGTAATTAAGTCGTGGGCCAGCGAGCACATTATCTACAATCAAACATGTCCCTGATCAGCGATTAGACGGGTAAACATGTGACCTCATTGTCTCCACCGAAGGATGATTATATAACAGTCTCTGGTTCTGGAACATCATGGTTATTTGCCAAATTTTGGTCCCAGTAAATAAGCTGAAATCACTTGCTATGGTCTGGGAATCAGATTTTTAGGACAACAGACTCTTCCTCAGAAGGCCTGATGCATTCCATTTGATTACCAATGTACTGGGAACTCTACAGACACCCAAACACCAGGAGGGCGCACCGTAGGGAGGTGGGAGTTGCGAAGAATGACTGGGGGTGGGGCAGCCCGGTGTCACACGACTTTACCCAAACAATGGCATGGCAAAGAACATCTGTTTTTTAAACTTCAGAGCTTTCTTGCTGCATAAGAGGTAGTAAAGAGGAAGGTGATGTGGTAGGGCGAGGGGGAGAGGGAGGGAGGAAGAGAAACAGAATGAGAAAGAGAGAAGGAGAGGAGAC